CAAGGAGAAGTCACCGGCTCAAAGATGGTAAAGTTCTTGCTGACTACCACTTTGGATCCCAATTCTCAGAGACCTCTCAACGCCAATGCCTCAAAGATAGTGCAATGCTAAGTCGATGTCTTAGATATAAAAATATCCATTAGCTTTCCACCTTCCCGAAGGGTACTGGTCATTCAAAAGGATGACCCCTCAAATATTCTTTCTATTGTGGCTTAGGTATCTACTTCTTTGTCATTCATATGGTGTCCTAGTTAAATGCCAACAAGAGGTAACTGTGGACATCTCCCTCAAAATTTTAGCTAAGGAAATTCCTTAAAACCCTGATTGTAAATCCTAAGGACCACAATAACTCTAGTAAGCCATAGTGAATCTAAACCTATAGAATTATCCCAATGTTACCTAAAACCCATCCCAATACCCTTCAATAGTCACCTTAGACACCCATGACGATAAAACTAACCCAAATACCAATTTGACACCTAGAAACCTGAAACTAAGATGTTAAAGTCATAGCTTTGTAAACCGCTAAAACCTTACTCAAATTGGACCAAATTTGATTCCTAATTATAGAGGATGTCACAAGCTTTCCAACAGTCCAAGAATTGCTTGAGTCGGACTTACAGTTAGAAAATTATGGCCTAGGGAAATTTGTTCAAAATAAAAACATTTTGGTCCCTATGCGACTCGCCGCGCGTCGCATGGCCCAACGTGCCAGAAAAGTGCCAAAAAGTGTTTTAAGCCCTATTTTGACCAAATTTAACATGGTTTTTTATCAGAATATTCTGGAAAAATTCGAAAAAAAACCTAATTTTAATCAAGCTAGAACTAGGAGATTAGATCAAAAAATTTCAAATTTGACCCTATAAAAAAACTATAAATACACCAAAAACACTAAAAAATCTCTAGAAAAATTCTTAGGAAAATTCCTAGATAATTAGGAAATTCTCAAAAAAAAATGGATAAATTAGAAAGCCCTCTAGAAAATTAGGAAAAATCCTAAAAAATTAGAAAAATAGTAGAAAGCCTAGAAAATTAAGAAATTCTTTCAAAATACCTAGGAAAATAGGGAAAAAATAGAAAAATAGGGAAAACCTTTAGAAAATTAATAAAAAATCTTTAGAAAGCCTTAGGCTAAAGCTCCTAAGCTCAAGTCCTCTCAAAATCTCTCCAAACTAAGATTAAATCCTAAGAACAAATTCTCCTAGATCCAAAACCTTAAAGTCATACTTCAAGAAAGCAAGAGAAGACATCAAAAAGTGTAAATCAACCCATGGCCCTGATACAGGCGTCAACTTTGGGTTTATCAGGAATGTTCTCTTTCTCTCTCTTTTATTTGGATTTCTTTATTTTTCTATTTTATTTTATTTTTTTTGGATATTACTTTATTTTTTAGATTTATTAAAATTTTATAAGCTTTTTAAAGTTTAATATACATATTTGGGAGCTGGCATTGCCAGTAGACTTAGAAAAGGACCGGATCTTTATAAATCAACAATATTTCTGACTCCATAATTTGAGCGACCTCACTTTCTATTGATTTTTTAAAATAACTCATTTCGCATGAGATTTGTGTTGATCTCGCTCTGAGATCAGCACGAATCAGAGTGTAAACAAGGATGTCAATAACCAAATCTTTTGATGCCATTACGTTCGATGTCAGTGAAAAACAAAGAGGAGATCACAATTACATGGATGGTTTAGTTTGTTCATACATGGTTACTCATTCACAAAATGTATCATCGAAGCTTATACATTCATACATGGTTACTCAATCACAAAATTTATCATCGAATCTTACACTTTCTTGAGTCCTTAAGGATTAAGATATCAAAACTCCAAAATACTTGAATGGAAAATTTTGCACAGCCGTACTAGTCAGTGCTAGTAATCATCATCGAGTAAATTTCATAGGCTTATACCCCAACACTCAACATCAAGTAAATGTTTGCATCCCTACTGCAAAATCCCGCTACCAGAGAAATTTATGGGCGGTGCCCTTGGCAACTCACAAAATTCGAATGGCTCAACATGGCGGGTCTACATGTCACACGAAAAGGAGTGTTGCGAAGACATACAATAGTTCCTGGCTAATATCAGGGTTTTAAAAGTAGAATTAGCCAGTAGTATCCTGACGGTTGCTTTCGGCTTCGCGAGCTGGCCTAAGCTAATATATGGTTTGTCGAAAATAGATGACCGGATGCTAAGATATACCCCTTGGAAGTTTGTGGCTGCACACAATCCATTTGCCACCGAAATCGTACCAAAAGAAAGACTTGATAGTTAGGCTGCCACGGCCGCATTGCATATAGTGTGGCTATAGAAGGTTATGCAACCTTAGTGAGGCCACACATAGAAAACATGAGGCCGAAGCTGCATATAGGAAAGTAATGCAGCTGCGACTTGCACCCATGTTTGGTGGGCTTTAAGGCTATGCCACTAGCCCGCATGTGCGACATGTACTACACGTGTCGTCACACATGTTGGGGTGTGGCTTGCAATTTCACATGTGTGCTTCACACGTTTTGCAATTGTGCATGCATGCCTCACATGACACGTATGTCACAGGTGCAGGTATTTATGACCTCTACTAGCACATGTTATTGTGCCACATGCTAGCACATGCCTGTTGTGTGAGGGCTGCACAACCATGCAACTGTGCATGCTCAACGGTCCACCAGCAATCGCTGCGGGTTGACCAGTAGGGCTATGCACGCCCTGTGTGCTCGCACAACCACCACACATTTGCAAGCACCCATGTGCACTCACATATTGGTCCCTCACTGTGACCACCGAGGTTCCAAAGCGTAGTGTGCGCCCAGTGCACATTTAGCATGCCAGTGCTTCCCACGGGATTTCATTGTTAGATAAGGGTTTGTTTCTGTAATTTTGTGAGGGTCGAGCTAGCACTTGGTTCTCGGCCTATCATGCACTAGTTGAATGACCTTTTGTTGATTCATACAGCGAGACTCTAACATCGAGTTGATAGAGAGACATGTCACTATGATCACAAAAGAGCCGCATTCGGGTTGGCATTCTCCAGTATCATGCCATGCCAATCCTTGAGGAATTGGTGAGTGGGTATTCAATGACCCGAGGAGCTGCATTCTTAGATCTTCGGGCAAAGTCCAGGAACAACCAGCCAATCTTCTGCCCTATGGAACTGAGTTCCCCTAATGAGATGGGTCGCAACTTGATGGGTAACAAACTGATGGAACATTTTGTTGCATGAAGTATTTGGGTTATCCTTCATGAACCAACTCTTATGTCATGGCTTCCCTGTAAACCATGCCTTGAGGTGGTTCAGCTTGTCCCTTGGTGTGAGCATGCTTAGCAAAGAACTTCTTATGTTTAGGCCAGGGTCACCCTTCCCCAAACACCCTTTTTTGGGTAATTTAGTGGGGATGACGACCTATCCGTTTTTAAAATCGTCAGTGGTTTTTCAATACGTAAGTGAGAATGAAAACCTAGACCTTAGTAAGAGTATAAGTGGTGCTACCACCCCAACCCCAACCCCATTCTCAAAGGGTAAGTCAGGGATATGGGCGCTACCCAACTTATACTTAAAATCGTGCATAATGAAATCTATTAAGAGATCTTTGAAATGCTCTAGGATCTTTTCTATACAGGACATTGGGCTTAAAATCATATACCCCATCCTGATTAGGGTTTGCTGGAATGCTTAAGGGTGTCCATACTTGCAAACTTGGTTAGATCACCTAATTCATGCTGAGTAGTTGGGTACCCCCCAGAATAGGCTGGTTGGGTTACTCCTTAGGGTAGCTTGGTGTATAGGTGGATAAGCGAGTGATGATTGGAGTGGAACATGGATGTTCGGAGTCATGCATGGATAGAACTCCCATGGCTTGAGGTTGATAGTTTGAAAGTGATTTGTAGGGAGCTCAATGCTAGGTCTGCTTGCTAGGGTCGGTCATGGTTTGAGGTCTGGCCCGATTGGTAGAGTGACTATGACTATGTAGTGTAGACAAGCTAGATGCTGATCCTAAGTGTAATCCTCTACCTAGGGCTTGGCGGAGGGAATTAACCAAAGCCTGGTGAGATGGCTATCCTCAAATGGGGTATGGAATGTAATTTTTAATTTTTTGGAGTATATTTTTTGGGTTTTTTTGGTTTTTTTTTTTTTTTTTTCAATTTCAGGGGGATTTTAGTTTTTTTATTACTTTTGTAGGATCTAGGGGTCTTCTGAAAAGTAATTAAGAGTCCCTTATTCGGGATAAAGGTATCATTATTTCAGTTTGAGAGCGAGAGAGGAGCAACAAGGTTTCTTGCTAGTGTTTCGACTTCCACCCTACAATAGGGCTTCTAGAGGGTATTTTTTTTTTCGAATTTCACCAAAGGTTAGGAGGTTTTAATAAAAGATTGTCTATAAAGAGATTATTTATCTTTTGTATATGGAAATCACAATCATTCTCATTCATTGGATGGCTTGGGGTGAGTCACAAACTCCAAGAATTGTTTTTAAAATTTTTGTAATGATTGTCACCTCCATGTACAAAATGATATATTTATAGACAATCCCTTTTTATAATTATAAAATAGGGCCCGTACAGGGATTGATCTCCTATTTTGCATTTAATTTCAACTTAACCTGGCAGAAGTTCAACCACTCGACCCTTTTTGAGAGCTGTATTTCCATCACCGCGTTTTCTGCATTCAAACACTGGGTCAAGACATCTTCCTGGAGATGCATCTATATGAAATATATTTCAAGATTGAAAAAAGGGCTTAGCCATTTTTCCCCAACTTTGCACTAAAAAATAACACACTCCTAGCCATCCAATGTCACGTCCAACAACAAGAGGTGATTGTGACCTTGTACCAAATTCAAAATGGTCTTGCCACATACAATTCCAAAAGAAAAGGCAAAAACCAAAGATGTTGATTTGTCCCCTCACCTGCATTCTATTTCGAGTTTATGGAGCACCTGAATGAAACATGCAAGTGTCTTGGTTTCCTTCTATTTTTCAATATGAAATAATTCCTTAAACGCAAACGATCACACTTAAATGTGAATACAACTATAAGATTCCAATTAAGAACCACAGTTTCTTAAAGAAAAACGGTGAAGCATAACTTCTCTATATCTCTGCCACCTAGGGAAATTTATTCCTTTGCCATATGAACAAGAAAAGGTAGCACACAAATATCTTTAAGCTTAAGAGAAATGTACAGCATCCTAAAATTTGAACATTTACCACACCCTTTAGTCGATCATCATGTCCTTTTGATACTAGTTGGATCATGTCTGCAAAAGCAATGCATTTTTTCGTTAAGCAGTAAAAATACACAATGCAAAGCTCAGCAATTGCAGAAATTTCTGTTCCAATTAAACAATTTCATAAATCTGCATTTTTAAGAAAACTACCTAAAAAAGCACATTTTGAAAATTTCATCAGACTCACTACCACAGGGGCGACAATCTACACATAGTAGGACATACATACATCATGCATGCTTCTTACATCTAGGAGCACAAAGCACACCAGAATAATTGAAGCAGGCACATTGAGACTATACAATAGCTAGATAACCAAGTTTTAGAAGTTCCAAAAAAGAATCTACAGTAACAAGACACAAGTGGGCAGATACATGAGTACGAATCTCCTAACTTCTTCACCAGTAATCACATTTGACAACTAATCCTTCTTTTCTTAACATAAATTACATCTAATCTTTTTCGAAAATCATTTTTGGATGGGAACAGATTGCCAATGGGTTGTGACTAACATGAAATGAGGGTTGACATCATACCATTTAACTTCATCAGGTACTTTCGTACTATGAAAAATGTTAATGGCTGGCATGTGCTTGTGTCTGCGCATGTCCGTTCGTGTGAAAGCGTGCAAGTTGCATGCCTGTGTAACTTCTTCTGTGAAGTTTTTGATCCTTAACAAAGTGAGATGAACAGATGGTGGACCACAAGCATCTATGCATACACATGACATATATACATTCATTTGCTTTACATGTCTCATCCACACGGTTGCTATTGATCAAGCATTCATTCTAATTTCATCCGCTCATAAATTTGACCAGCAAATATTCACCCTCATTCAACTTTAAAGCTATAAAAATCCTCCAAACAAAACAGAATTTGATCCTTCTAGTGGTTGCTAAATACTCTACTCACAATAATACCAATAAACTACTAGCCAAATCAAAAGAGCCCTATACTCTCAACAGCTTCAATGTTATTCACATGCTATAATCCTCCAGAAGCAACAATAACTCCTTAGAGATTACCACCTCTAACAAAGTTTTCGCTTTTGGAAAGCAAGATTAGTGAACACACATGTCGTCAAGGTTATTCAATATCTTCCCTTTAGAATTTGAATGTTCATATCAATCAATCAAGGCTCACAATAGTACTCTATGAAATCTGGGCCCTAACTCGCCAAAGCATAAGAGTAAATGCAATCAGGCATATTATACTTATCTACTGAAGAAACTATTGACGTTTCACAATTGATTTTGTCACCATGAGTAAATGGCAAGCACTAACATGATTACATGATGGATGAAATTATCCTCTACCTACAAAACCAAGCTAAAGAAACAGGAAGATCAGCATGGATGGGCAATGTCACAATCACAATTAGCCAAGCGGATAAATATGTAAGGAAAGTTGTTCAGTCAACATATATAGAAAAACAAAGAAGCAAAGCACTTCATGACAACAAAAAAACCTCTAACTTATAATTATAATTTCTACATAACATTCGCCATGCCAAGTTTAAGCTCTTTTTAATATAGGAGGAAACATTAGTCAAGCTTCATAGTTTCCATATTTCCTTGTCATCATGATGCATAACTCATATACATTCAAGAAAAAAGAAAAAAAAGAACAGCCTGATATGAACTACCTGGTAAGAGTAATCATAAGCTCTCATTTAACTTCATAAGAATGATCCCATCATGGAAAGGGGGAGACTTCAAACAAATATGACCCTCATTGTGAATTGGCAGAAGATGTGCTGCTCAGAGCTTTACTTCTAGGCTGAGTACTCCCAGATGACTCCAAGAAGAAAACTATGTTCTCTGGGTTATAAGCTAGAAGCTCAAGAGACCTTGGAATAGGAGGTGTGGTCACCTCTGCAACTCCTTCAAGAATTTGAACTACCTGGCCCATTGAAGGCCTAGCATTCTCATCATCCTGAATACACCAACATGCCACCCTGCAAGCTCGATTGAGCTCACCTACGTCTGCATTACCCTCCAACTTTGAATCAAGAAGAGAGAGAACCTTGTCTTCCACTATCATCTTTGCAGCCCAGGTAGGGAAAAATCCAAACTTTGCGTTCTCTGAATGATCAGAATTTCTCCTACCTGATATCAACTCCAAAAGCGTCATTCCATAACTGTAAACATCAGCTTTGGGAGTGATAGCCAAGCCTGAAATCCACTCTGGTGCAAGGTAGCCCCTGGTTCCTCTCATCGTCGTCAAAACCCGGCTAAACTCCCTGCCGAGAAGCTTTGCAAGGCCAAAATCTGCAACCTTTGGGCAAAACCCACCATCCAGAAGTATGTTTTCAGGCTTAATATCGCAATGTATAATGCAGTCTCTGCATTTTTCGTGGAGGTAAGCAATCCCTCTGGCTGTTCCAAGGGCAATCTCATATCTAGCTTTCCAGTTTATTATGGTAGAGCCCTCTTGAAAGAGCAGTTTATCAAGGGATCCATTTGGCATGTAATCATACACCAGCAGGCGCTTGGTTCCCTCAGAGCAAAAACCACGAAGCCTGACCAGGTTAACATGCTGTATGGTCCCAATGGTGCTCACTTCCATTCGAAATTGCTTCTCCCCTTGCCTCAGGCCTTCGAGTTTCTTCACGGCAACAACTGTTTTATCAGGTAATGTTCCCTTAAAGACAGAGCCAAAGCCCCCTCCCCCTAATTTCTCGGAGAAATTCTTTGTTGCATTCTGTAAATCTCTGTAGCTAAATGGAATAAGGGAGCCCTGTTGCACCTTTAATTTCCTTCGAGATTCGTGCATATGACATCTACAAATCAACCCCAACACAACAACAGAAACCACCACAAATGCTGCTACTGATCCAGCCACGACTCCAGTAACCCTATTTTTCTTACCAGGCTTGTTAATGTTGGCAAGTTCAGCAGCAGCAAGCTTGAGGCAAACCACTGGCAAATTATCACTAGAATCTTGCTTTGCATTAAATAGATCATTAAACCATATGGAGCAGCTACTCCCATACTTATATGCTGTACAAGAGCAGTTCCTCAAGCAAGCTGATCTGCACTCTTCCGCACTCCCAACACTGACAGGGTGAGAATCTTTATCAGCCAATGATATTCCTGTTAACTCCAAAAACCCATCTTGTTGCCCATTTGTCAAGCTGTTATTCTGGCACTGCAATTGAGTTTTCCTAACACACCCACTGACTGCGGAATCCAAGTCCCAATCCTTTTGGGACAAACGATTGAACCCTTGTAAGCAGGTGCAAAAAGGTAAGTTTTGTTTGCAAGTCCCATAGGCCCCGCACAGAGCGTGGACTTCACACGGATCTCGGGGCTGCGACCAGAAGAGGTTCCACGTTTTGGTACTTTCAATCCATGTATACTGCCTGACCAGCCCTGCTACGTGCATCACGAACCTTGAGATTGTGCTATTATCTTTGACTGTGTAATTGAAGTAACTCTCATTCTCATTGTCTATGAAACTGAAGTCGTAGATGTAATTCGATCTCATCTCAGGGACTCTACTAAAGATATGATTATTCCAAACTCCACTGGTCCAGTACTGATTCGTTCCATTCCCAATTAAAAAATACTGCCTGGTTCCATTGGGATCCAGTTCAAGGGAGAAGGGGCCTGGTGATGGGTCCTCTGAATTCCTCCAAGCTGTGAGCAACTGGGTCTTGTTTGTCTTCTTATTTAACCCAAGTTTTCCTCCTGTTAACCATGTATCAGTGGGGTTATCCAGGCTCTGCCAAAGAAACTCAGAGGAATTAACAGCCCTCAGAACCAGATTTCCTGTGTCTAATATTTCTGCAACAGTTGCATTTGCAGAAGTGGAGCTCAAGCTTAAATTGGTGGACCAAATTAGGTGCTGGGTTTTGTTCAAAAGGACCAAGTTTCCATCCTCTGAGATTTTCAGCTCTGATTTGTTGTCTGCCAAGGGTTTGTCCCTATTGGCTACCCATACTACAGTTTGAACAGAGACTTTACTGTACCAGATGCCTATGTACCAGTTATGAGAGTTACCTGGAGTGAAGAAGCCCAGCACAAAGTTGTCTCCAATGGAGGTTAAATTCTGATTTCCAGTCAGAGATTGGCCTGGTGAGATGGTGTGTTGTGCAAAACAGGGACTCAACAGTTGCAAAAGACATGAAAACACCATCAATGGACATGGTTTCCCCAACATGGAGAAACCCATGAGCCTGGTTTCTGGTTCCTGAGGAAACCCAAGCCGAAAAATGGGATATTTTTAATGGCACAACAAGGGTTGCTCCCGATGCCCTTGCACCAGAGTTCATTTATTGAATTACCAGAACCTTTGATCAAAGGAAACTACCAGCTCTCCCTTTCAAAGGCTGACTGGCAATGGAATGACGACTCTTCAAGGGCAGAAATGTCCAAAATTATTCAAAGATTTTCTTGACCCAGTCGTGAGCTTGCAGTATAATAATATTTTTACTCCTTACTTAACAGTTGTCAATGGTTTTAGTCATGCGTATAATAATCCCTTTTCTCCCTTGCTCAACTCTAATTTATGGATTTAATTATTCCACCAATCAAAATGAAAAACAATCAAAATGAAAAACCAAAGCCTTTTTTTGGGTAAATAAAACCAAAGCTTTTCACAATACCATATTTGAGTTTATACAATAGGGAAAAGTTTATTTAGGGCTAGGCTCTAAACAATCAAATTAGAGCTCACTGTAAAAAATTTACTAGAAGAGTTTGTTTTGTTGTCCAAATATTCTTAAATTGATCATGTCGATATCAAGATGCATGGACATCAAAAAAATAGATTTTAAGTTTTGAAAATAATACATCTTGTAACACATTTTTGGATCGTTAATTTCAATATTTTGAAGTTTTCATAGATTTGATTGATCTACAATATTTTTTAAGTTTTAAATTTTATAATTGGATATGAAAATATATTTTAAAGCTTTCACAAAGATTTTTAGTAGTGAAACCACATTTCTTGCAACTATTTAAAGGTAAGCTTTACTTTGATTGTTTAGAACCTCGGCTCTATACAAACCGCACCCTTGAACAAATATCGATGATTTTAATTGCATCCAACCTGGAAATTCATGACTCATGAAAATAACAGCAAAATATTTCTAGAATCAAGTCCATTTGCGATTTGTAAACGCCCAAGAGGTCCTAACTAAAATCATTTCCAACCCAACAAAATTAACTTTCTGATAAATATATAAGGATGAGGAGCCAACCGACTCATTTGTACAAGTGCGGCCTCCCTCTAAAATCCATTTTAAAGATAGATTTTTTATCTAATTATTTTATAGATTATCGTCCAACCCTAGATGAAATAAATAATTACTAACAAGATCAATCAACCCGTAGTATTTGTTTTTCAAATTGTCTGAGGATGCCATCCTTGGACTTTTATTTTTTTGGTTATTTCTTTATTAGAGTATTGCCCTGAGTTTTAGAGGCAATGCCCAGGCAGTCCAAGGATGGCATCCTCAAAGCACGTTGAAGATTACAAATTAACTTAAAGCGGTCTGAGGATGGAAATCTCGAACTGCATTGATGTTCACTGAAATTAATAGAAGGCTGTCTGAGAATGCAAATCACTGACCACATTTGGTATGAGTAAAAGTATTTTGGCATCGGATCGAAGGATTTTAAAAAATAATTTACGATATGAGGACTCTGACCTAGGACCAAAGTTTTTTCAAAAAATATGTTGCAGTCCGAGGCTTTCGACCTCGGACCTCGGACCTCGGACCGCCTTAAACATGAACTTTGTTCAGTCCACAGGCCGTACTAGGCAATGCCCCTAAAACTCAGGGCAGTACTATTGGGAAGATATTCCTCTTATCATTTTCTAAAGAGGGAGATAGAGATGGATTTCCTTTTAGGATGTTATGGATATACGTCTAAATATGGTAGCTATCTCTTAGTCCATATATAAAAGAGAATGCTTGAGAGGCTATTGTTGCTCTTGGTTAGTTTGACCAAAGCCATCTCTCTTAGGTCATTTTGGGCTTGTATCTCTCTTGGGCTATTCTCTAGGCGGATTCTTCTTGGTGTATCAGAGATACATGAAGTATTCTTTTGTAGAGAAGAAGAAGAATAAAAGAGAGAAAGTTAATATTCTCCTAGAAAGAAGAAGAAGAGAGAGTGTTATCCTTCTTTGAAGAGAGAAGAAGAGAGAGAGAGAGAGAGATCCTTCTTCTTAGAGAGAGATCCTTCTTCTTAGAGAGAAGAAGAAGATGAAAAATAACTAATGATCATCTTCTTGAGTCTTTTCTTTTGTTGAGAGAGAAAAGGGGGAGAAGGGAAGAAAAGAAGATAAAGAGAGAACATTTTCTTTTAGAGAGAGAAAGCCTCTAGAAAGAAAAGAAGTCTCTGATATCAGATAGAGAACTCCTAGAGAGATAAGCCTTTAGATGAAATCGGTGATCCTAAGAAAGGTTGTTTCTTGAAAGACTATTGCAACTTTTGAGTTTAATAGTGGATTCATCTCTCTTCCGTGGAAGTAACCTAAAAAGGTGAACGACGTAAATCCAGTACCAGTAAGATTTATTTATTTATATGCTTTATTACATGTTTCCCACTCATATAACTACACATTGGCTTTAGCATAATATTTGTGTTCCGTATTTCCTGGTTCCGCTGCTAGTATCCGCATTCGTGCGAGAGGGCTATAAGTGAGTGAGCCTAATAAGTGGTGTCAGAGTGTGTTTTCGCTCGCTGCTTGGTCCTCCTTATCACCGTTTTACGACATAGCGAACTAGTGGTAGTAGGACGTGTATGGAAGAACACAAATCCCTTGGGCTGCAGTATCGATCAGATGACACAATGATAGGGCGACAGTAACGATCGGACGACACAACAATCGGGGAGGAGTTCACAATCGGGTGGTAGTTCGCGATCGGGTGGCAGTTCACAATTGGGCGATAGTTCGTGATAGGGCGGTAGTTCACGATGGGGCAGCAGTTCACCCATCCGGATCGGTGAATTGGCGACCCGGATCGGAAATCCACCAAATCGGTCTGATTAAGCCTTAAAATAAATCTGAAAAAATTATTAAAATTCATTATAAATATTGTTTTTTATGAATCCAATAAGAAATGGGGGTACTTCATTAAGAGTTTTCATTTTTTGCATGAATATGCGCATATTGATATGTTCTTTCCCTGCATGAACTACTGTTTACCATTTAATGTACATCACACAACAGGATAAACACAAAATTATCATGGATTAAGTATATTATCATACATGAACTACAATAAAGCATAGACCTACAATACTGACACTCCTAGATAGCCAGAAACAATTTCTTCAACACCCCTTCATACATATTTGAGCTGGACCTGCCATACATGATCGAGCTGGGTCGGCCATGCATGTCTGAGCTAGGCCCACCATGCATTCCCATGTCATAACCACCAGGGATTCTAATCTCGCATTCCCTCTGGTATATTTCTTGTAAACTCATTCTTGTGGCTATCTCTAAGTCATTATTATATTGCTCTTTTGGATCATTCCTGCTCAATGGCGTATATAAACCAGCTATCTCCTCATCCATCCTCTTCTTTGCAATTTTTTACCTTTGGTAGCCTTGAGAAATGTCGTCATCTGCTTTCTTACATTACTAGGGATACTATTGCACACAGAAAAATCTCCCTTAACCCCTGCCAAGTGTTGCTTGAACCTATGTACCCTACTACTTATCACTTTTTGGCAGTAATTACAAATAATTTTGTCTTTTTTTTTGGGATCAAGTCTGACCCCATGTTGCCATGCAGGGTCTTCCCTAGATCTTGCCATGGTTCAACTGTTTTAATATGTAAATGGTTAAAAATTAACCTGACAATTCAACATGAAAAATAATATGTAGGGGTAGTTCATGAAGTTATATTTGTTATTAATGCAAAATACTTCTATTGGCAAAAATATTTTAGTTCCTACCGGCAAAAATAATTTATTTATGCAACATTATAGATAAAAATAGTCTATATTAGTCAGTACAATAATATAGTCATCAATAATACCACTACACGTACATTTGGCATAAAAAAAATTTACAATGATATAGTCATTCACAATACCACAAATAATATTTACAATAATATATGGGCACAATCCCAACTCAATTAAAATGATCACAAATAGTCGTACATCTTAATTACAAAAATGCAAGATAATATAATAAAAAATGCAAGCTCCAAACATGCCTACAACTCAATTATCAAGAATATATATACAATTTATGTATCAACATATATTTTTTTGAATTAAAAATTTAATAATAAAATTGAAAAATGCAAGATAATATAGTTATCATACATGCCACGATTTTTTTACAATGATATTCATACAGTTAATACTAAGAATATACATACATGGCACAAATAATATTTACAATGATATAGTCATTCAAGATAATATAATGATAAAATATTTATCAATCCTATGCATACATTTTATGTATTAAAATTAAAAAATACAGTTTTGCATTAAAAATTTAACATGTATTTTTTTGCATCAATAATTTACCAACATGCAATTTTTTAAAAATAAAAGTTAAAAAATATAGTTTTGCATTAAAAATTTAACAACATGTATTTTTTTGCATCAATAATTTATCAACATGCAATTTTTTAACAATAAAAATTCGAAACTACAGTTTTGCATTAAAAATTTAACAACATGTATTGTTTTGCATTAATAATTTATCAACATGCAATTTTTTAACAATAAAAATTAAAAATACAATTTAATTCGTCATGATAATCAAAACCTAGTCACGATTTTGATAATTTTTCAGAAAATCATGATATCGATCATCAATTTTGTTTAAAAAAAAAACGCAGTGCTTCACAAACACACCTGACATCAGTCATTCCAACTCGAAAATCCGCCTCAAATCGAATAAATTATATCAAATTGAATACCTGTTAATTATTAACACATTATTATATAAAAAAAAGAAATAAAATCGATTGAATGGGGGAAAAAAAAAACGCAGTTCTTGACAGACCCACTTGATATCAGTCATTCCATCTTAAAAATCAAGCTCAAATTGAATAAATTAGATCAAATTGAATATATTTGTGATAAACAACACCATAAGGAATCAAAACCCTATAAAATTAACACATTATTGTAAATAATTGACTAAAATCGATTGAATGGTGGAAAAAAATAAAAATAAAAAAAGCAGTTCTTCATAGACATCAGTCATTTTTTCTTAAAAATCAAGCTTAAATTGAATAAATCATATCAAATTGAATACATGTGATGAAAAACAACACTATAAAGAATTAAAACCCTATAAATTTAACCCATTATTTGCAAA